AGGTTATGAGGCAACTCTGACCGATTGAAAATATTGCAGAAATAGGGAAAGGATGGGGCCAGATAGGGACGCAGCAGTTAAACGTGATAACTCTGCAAGGCAATCCCATATGGGAAAGCTCCCAGTTCAAGTCCAGAAAGCTCCCTGAATACGTCAGGCACACGCTGCCCAGGATCCAGAGCCAGCTGAAAGACTGGGGTGGACTTTTGTGTCAAAGCCCTGTCGAGAGTGCTGTCTCTCAATCTCTCTCACTTAAAAAAAAAGAAAGAAAGAAAGAAAGAAGAAAAAGAAACAGAAAAAAAACATCAAGGTGAGGAGGTATCAAGTAGTTTTGCGAAAAGTTTCAAGTATGGTTTGCAAAATGTTTCAGTATGAGTGAAATGAGAGGTATACAGAAAGTCAGAGGAAAGAGCGCGCAGGTCAGGAAGCGCCCTCTAGATTTTGTTAAGCGAAGTCTAGAAGTCCAAACTTGATCCTTTTAGGGAATGACTAAAAGATCTTAAATGAGGATTATCTGGATTATAGGAGTGTTTTGGAAAGTCTAGGCTGGTAGCAGTGTGGACACTGGATTAGAGAGACTGCGGTGGGTGGGGAGAGGTGAGACTGAAGCAAAAGAAAAAGATGTAGGTTAGGAACTATTTCAATTTTCTATGGGAAAAACATACGGATATAAATGAAACCGTGGAAAGAGGTGGGCAGAATGAAGTCTAGAGCTATTTTAGAAGTAGAATCGACAGGATTGGGTGATCAATCCAACGAGAGAAGAAAAGAAGGTGGTATTTGGATTATATCCAGGTTCCTGTCTTGGGTCAATGGGTTAAAGGATGATGAGGACAACAATCCAGAAAGGTGGGTCAGTAGGTGGCGTGGTGGTTAAGGGCGCTGGATTCCCACATGGCTGACCATGGTTCGAGTCCCAGACCTGGTGGCTTGCTTTCTCACTTTCTCTCTCTCTCTAGTCAAATTAAAATAAATAAATAAATAAATAATTGAATAAAATAATTCTTGAAAAAAAAAAATCCAGAAAGAGAATACAAGAAGACCAGAAATACTCCTGGTTTCCCAGGCTCGAAAATCTTAGTCGCCTCTTGCATGCAACTAACTATATGTTCTCCAAGATAAATCGCACTGGGCCCATGGTACACACAGGAGTCTCTAACAGGACAACCAGGAAATCACAGGGCACAGAACACCTCCACAGACCAACAGTGTTGCATATGTATGAGAAGACTTCAAAAAGTTCATGGAAAATAGAATTTACGTATGGCTTTATTTTGGTGCCTCCTCCACTGAAATCCATACACAGTTTTTTTTTATGATACGCATTCCCCGTGAACTTTTTGAAGACCCTTTCCTTGTATTTATAGTAGGTAATTGAACTGATACAGTTTATTTAAAATGTTACTTTTGCTTTAAACCAACAGACCTATTACAGAGGAAAGAAATGCATGTTTTCATATAAATTTGTAAAGAGAAGAGAAATCAAGAAATCTTACACTGGGAGAACTCGTATGAGCTAAGGATTCCCATCTTAAAGATCCTCTGTCATTTGGGTTCTTCGGTGAAAATATTCACGAAAAACTACATTATGGTATTTTCTAGTAAAGCTGAAGACGCCCACACTCAAAGATATGGTATTTCCGATCTTCTTTTTGAGAGATTTTTTGTTGTTGTTTTTTGGTTTTTGATTTTGTTTGTTTGTTTGCGATAGGGCACGTATGCTCACCAAAGAGACAGGGAGAGAAAGAAAGCAAGAAAACCATCCCCGGGACAGGGGGCAGGCATTGGCCACCATCCCTTCTCTTCCATTCTCCTCTTGGGGTTTTAGGCATGCGCACACACACCCAACATGAGTTTCAAGTCACTGGGTCAGGGACTTAAACCTCAGTCAGCCATGTGAGAGTCCAGTGCCTTAACCACTATGCTGCCTGCTGGCCCCGGTATTTCCAACCTTATGAGATACCTTAGAGTGGCAGTTCTTGGAGTGTGGTATGCGGACCCTCCCAGGGGACTCTGAGACCCATTCAAGGATCCTCAAGATCAAAACTGATTTTGCAGTAACATGTGGTATTATCTGTTGAAGATATTTTGTAGTTTTATCAACGGTACTAGGGAGAAATGTTCACCTGTTGAAATATCCATTTTGTAAGCCAAATAGTAAAGTGATTGAATGTATAAAAGAAAATGAAATTAAAAAAATAAAAGAATAAATAAACAAGATATTGGAGCTAAACGGTGAAGCAGCAGTCATGCAAGGTTCTACAAGACTGACCACAAGGAAGGTTCCAGATTTGCATATGGAGACCTCCCTGCAGTGAGCATGCGTGCATGTGCCCATGACCCAGGGCTGAGTGAAGTTGGGAGTGGCCAACAGTGAAGACCTCGTTGAGAACACTATCTGCCTGCCTGTCTTTCTCTCTCATTCTTTCATAGAAGAAAGAAATAAACATAATAGCATAATAATACTAAGGTATCATGAGCCTGTCCACTCAGTTGACATCTGCACTATTGATATAAAAGCAACGGTAAACAAAACTACTGGCACCTAAGCTGGAAGCAAGGCAGTGGCACCAAACCCAGCCAGGGTTGTGGTTGTATTCTTCACTGCGACGCACAGCAAACTGGAACCAAAACACAAACACACAAACAAAAACTAGCACACGCGAGCAAAGCAAAGAGGAAAACCCCTGTTTCACTTAAGGTGAAGCAGTCAAAAGTATTAATTGTATTGAAGATTGATCTTTGATAATAAAGTGTACGTGTAAGGATCCTCGAGATCAAGTGATAATAACTTTCGGTAATAAAGTGTAAGGGTAAGGATCCTCAAGTATTCGCGTAAAGTATCACTACCATTACTTAAGTACGGTGGCCTTCTCAAGGAAAAGAACAAGAGTGCTTGCTTGAACTAGCCTCTTCTTTCAATGGAACATCCCTTTTTATTGAAAGAATAACTGACGAACTATCATCATTCCAAGGTAGGTATCTGGCAGATAATTTCCTGGAAATGAAAGTCGAAAGGCTGATACAAGGAGAAACTGACAGCAATGTTGCAATGATGAAACTCAAGCTTCCCTGCAAGAACGAAAACTTTGGAAAACTTGTATCCTACACTATGAACTTAACAGCTTCCCAGTAAGGTACTTAAAGAGCTTTCAGATAAGATAATGATTTTTTTTTTATAAATGTTGTGTAACAAAATGTGTCCACAATTGGGAGGGCTGTATAAGTAGTGAACCAGTATTTTTCCAAATGTCCAACAGCAAGATGTTACATGCATGATGATCCAATCAAGCACAACCCAGACCAGGAGATGTTAATGTAACAAAATGTTCATTGCAATGTTTCCCTTCAAACACTGCAGCTAACCTTCAGAAGTTACCTCTTTTTGAGTCTTGGTTTAGTAGCAAAGGGTAACCACAATGATCTGGAAAAGCTACTATGTATCTGTGTGAAATCAGTTTTCTTTAAATACTTCATCCAAAACATGTTGCAATAAACCGAATGAGGCAGGAGATAAAAGCATTTAGTTGTCTTTGAATAAGCCCAGCATTAAAGAATTGAAAAAAAAAAAAAAATTAAGAGCAATGCTCTAAATGCTCTCACTAAATTTTCTTTGCTAAGATATATTTCTCATTTTTTAAAAGTGCTCTTTAGGGGTCAGGTGATCGAGCAGTGATAAAACCGGATACTCCACCAGGCAGTCCCACATGGGAAGGTTTCTGGTTCAAGTCTGGAGACCTCCCTAAGGAAGCCCAGCACATTCTTGCCCATGGACCCAAGGCTGGCTAAAGCAGGGATGGGTCATGTTGGGGCCCTGCTGGGGACACTGGCTTTCTTTCTCTTTCAGTCTATCTCACTCACAGATGATATAAAGACTTTTTTAAAAATACTATTTATAGCTAACATATAATTGGTTAGAATCATTACTTTAGTAGTAAAAAAATGTTACTTTCTCAGTTCTAAAAAGATACAGATAGGTGGATGGATATAATACATATACATAATAGCTCTTTGGAGTTCTAAGTAAATTTTAAGGGTCCTGGTAAAGGGGTCCCAAGAACAAAATGTTTGAGAACCAGTGTTTTACATTCAGGCCACAGACACACTCACAAGTGTGTTTACAGCAGCACTGACAGTGTTTTACTAACAGCAAAAAGTGGAATTCAAGGCAAAAAAAAAAAAACCCTTGGCGGCGTGTTTCCGCATGCAATACTAGAGAGCAGTGGCTACGCAGCACGGTTACGTGTGATAAATCTTGGGGACGAAACTGCTGTATTAAAACCCAAGGTGCGGAATGCATAATCTCTTACGCTCTCACTTTTACAAATTTCGAAGCCAAGCAAAACTAAACAACAAGGCAGAGCTGTAGAGAAAATGCCAGGGAATCATGAAACAGTGGACGTAGAGAGTAAAGGGGGATGAACACACAGACAGGTGCAGTAGTATTGAAGCTTGGTAGACTGGCAAAGGTGCCGGTGCTGCTTTATCATGATGCTTCACGATACGGGGCTCTTCAGAAAGTTCATGGAAATGTGTATGAGGGGGGAAAAAAGGATGCCTAGATTTCAAAATTTTTGAAATTCATACTCGAACCCCTTTTTTCCACGAGCATTTTGGAACCCCCTCCCCTACATACAAATGCCAGATGTGTTATTTTTTGCAAAGAGCATGAGTTGTGTGACCTTCACAGGAAGACATGGCACTCGAGATTTCCTGGCCAATTATTCAGGAACTAAAGGGGTGGGGAAGAGGACAGGGGAAAGGCGAGCTCTGGCTGAGCGTCTGCAGTACTGGCCCCACCACGGGGCAGGGCTGTCCCACAGGCTCCACCATTCATCGCCTTTGGGGTCTCAACAGGCCGCCCTACCTGACAAGGCCACATCGTCCTTCGGACCATCACCCCCATCTCTATTTTCATTTCAAAGAATCTACCACGTGTCACAGCTGATTGTCGAGCTCTATGGAAGCCATGAAATTGACCCGTCTTAATCTCTTATCACCTGAGTCCGCTCCCGCCATCCTCCTCCCACTTCTTATCCAGACACCACGGCACGGTCTCTTGATTCGGCGAAGTCCCTTCCTTTCGTTTCTCCCATCCATTTTTGGAGTTTCTCAACCTCTTTTGGTTAATGTCATTTCTTCAGCTCAGAACATTCCCTCTCCTCAGAATCTAAATCTGTGGCTGGAGAACGCTATGATGTCACTCCTCCTGCCATTGTGACTCTGCGTGTCCTCGAACATGCACACGCCTAACTCCGAGTGTAGCGTTCGCACTTGTTGGCATCTGATTTTTACTTATTCGCGGTAGTTGTTTTGTGTCAACATGCGACAGAACAGTCAGAAGGGACTGCATCCGGTAGAACTCCTGCGACCTCAGTAAATTACTCAACACTTTCCTTTTGAAAGTGTGTTTCCTGGGACCAGCCGGCGGCGTGGTGGTGAAGGCGCTGGACTCCCACACTGTGGACTACTGTGGTTCGAGTACCAGACTGGGAGGCTAGCTTTCTCCCTTTCCCTTTCTCTCTCTGTCTCTTGTCAAATGAAACAGTAATAACAACAGATGGAAGTAAATAAATAAATAATTAGTTTTTTAAAAAACAAAGTATGTTTCTTTCGAAAAGCACACAGGGAGAAAAGGGTAACAGGGGCTCACACTGAGCTGCCCCTCATCCCTTCAACCTTCCCAGCCAGCCAGGATCAGAGGCAGGTGTGCCCACTGTGCATAGGTCAAGCAGGGAACCAACCGGAATCTTCCAGATGGTTCCAGCCTTGGCGTTCCTGCCACACCACCATGCTGGCCCTTAAAACTTCTTAAAGAACAAGCACCAAGTGGGGACAGCTCTCAGCTAATAGACTCTTCACTGCTCTAAGACAACACTCTGCGTGTTTTCATATACCCTTTCTTCCCAAAGGCTCTCAATTCCGCATACCGAAAAACGTGTCCCCTGCTGTAGAAACCGATGTCCAATTTTAGGGTAGAAACCAAGCAAAGCAGCATTTAATTTATAGAGTTCTTCTGATACTCCCTAACGCTTCTCCCCATCCCACCTTGCATGACTTGAAGCCCTTAGAAAACCGTCCCACGGGTGGTTGAACCAGCTGCTTCAGAAACACAAGCTCTTCTGTTTCATTTTTGGAAAGGCCCTTCCCTTATCAAACCAAACCGAACTTATCTTCCTTATAACCTCTCCCCTACCACACCTAGTTTCTGTTTTCGGCTCAGCATTTCCTATGTCTATAAAAATACTTTCCAAGCTGAATTCGAATGATCTGATTCCATCTCTTTCTCTGCCCGCATGGCTCGGAGATCCATGAGAGCAAAGAGCGTGCTCCCTCCACAGCTCTAAGCCCGGAACCCGGATATACACGCACTCAGTTAATGCTGGTGGAATAACTGAATGACTCAATGAATAACGTGATCACACACAAGCTGAGAACTGAGGATGAATGGCCATTCAGAACAAGTGTACTCCCTCTTTCGCTTGACAGAACTCCACACGTGTGCAGCTACGATGCACCGTTTTTATCCAGCCTCTCGTGTTCAAACTGAGCACTCTCAATGATCTCAGGATTAATTCCTCGTATGATGATTTCAAGAGCCTCCCAACTTCTTAGTTTATCAATTCCCCCCTTAAATCACAGCACCCAATCTGGGATTCAACGTCATAGACGTGATCTAAGCAGTTCGCCACCCTTGTTCCAAATCTAGTACTTAAGCGACTATAGCCAACTCTGCAGAAATACACCCGTTTGTTTTTCACATAAAGTCAACTTTGAATATTACTTGTTGGTTACTGGCGAATTATCTCCTGGGGCCAGCAGGTGGCGCGGTGGTTAAGGTGCAAACCACCCACATGGTGGACAACGGGTCAAGTCCGGACTGAGCAGGTTTCTCTCTCTTTCTCTTTCTCTGGTGGGTGCACATGCCCTATAACAAATTAATAATAAATAATAATAATAATTAAATTAAAATCTTTGAAGGAGACAGTGCGTTATCTCTGGGCATGTAAATCAGCATAAGGGGACTTTCACGATTGAAACATTTATACATATTCATAGTTACACAAGCATTACTACTTCTGATATTAAAAGCCAATACAGATTTTAAAAAAATAAATGAATAACAAGTTATATAGGTGATGTCTATGGTTCCAGCCTGAGAGAAGCTATCCAAGTCGTATTTAAATGATTCATGATTTTTCTGTTGTATATATCTTTTTCTCCTGTCACCAAATATTTGAGTGGCCTTGGGCAAGGCTCTTCCAACCATGAGCTCATTGTCCAGCCCACCCAGACCCAACTTCTAGATTGTGGGGCGTCTCTCTTCCTAGAGATGCCAGGAAGCAGCTCCCTATCATTTGGTTTCTCTCTTTCTTAAGGTCAGATTAAAACCCAGTAAGTTATTGTTTGAAGTTCGCCTTCCCCCAGAAGGGAGAAATCGGAGCGCACGTTGCAGTGACGTCTTCTGGAGCGTGGGGTCTTCCACACTCTGTTTCCTCCCAAATACAGCTGTGTTGCATGCGCGAGAGAGGACGGCCGGGTTAACAAGTAGGGCCAGCGAGTGCAGATTAGAAAATGATGCCTAATTCTAGGCCATTACAGGCAGGCAGAGCGCTCCATATGGAGCACGCAATTCACGCTGCAGAAAGTGTCACTGTGCGTGACTCTGTTCTATGACCCTCTGCTTAGTCCGAGGTCGGAAATCCAGATCTTGGGGTTGGGTAGTGGTGCAATGGGAAATAATAAATATACAAAGCGTAATATAAAGAGGCTGGGTAATTCAGATCATCCATTTTACAAGAGGCGGCTACTTACACACACAGAGGGTAAGTGACTTGCCCAAAGTCACAAAGCCAAGTGATGGGAGAAATGAGGGAGAAGACTATCATCTCCCTGGGAGAAGATGACGGACCCGGCTGCAGTCCGAGTCTCTTCCCAGATGGAGCATCCCTCCCTGAGTCTCTGGTTTCCACCCTGGAGAAGCTGGACTCAATTACTCAAGCCCATGAGCTAATTTTAGGGTTTGAAGAATCTGACAAACCATCGTCCAGAAGCTGCCTGGGCTCCGCATCACGTGTCTTTATTTCTGGCTGAAATGACATCACTCCGGATTGGAAGTTCTGGTTAATTCAGGGGTCCTCAACCCTGGCGAGCCATTCAAATTCACCTAGGAAATTTTTTAAAATGCCCATGGCCAGGCTGTAACCCGGGCCAATTCAATGAAAATCTCTGCGGGTGTTTGCATTTTTTAAACTTCCCATGTGATTCTAATTTTATTTTATTTTTAAAAATTTGCTATAGGGCGTGTGCACTCACCAGAGACAGAAAGAGAGAGAGGGAGAGAGAGAAAGAGAGAAACCACACTCCAACGGGGATGGCCACTCTGCAATCCCTTCTCCTCCTGGAGTTCCCAGCATGCACACACATGTACCTTCATGTTTTTTTAAGCTGCCAGGTCCGAGACTGGAACCATGCAGTCAGCCATGGGGGATCCAACTACCTTAACCACCATGCCATCTTGCCAGCTCACTCCTGGGTGATTTTAACAGGCAGCCAGGGCTGCAGAACACTGGATTGAATGCTGGGGGTCAGCAACTGATAGATAGGCAGCCACTGACTTATTACACGGCACAGTGAAAGCAATCCTCATGTCGGAGGTCCTAACGTAGCCAGGATTTATTGTCCACATACTATATGCCAGACACGAGTCTAACTATCTACATGTCTGAGCTCACTTGGTTCTCACGGCACCACGATGGGCGTCCCCCATGTTACTGATGAGAACGGCGGTAAGCTGAGATCGTCATGGCTGTCATGTACAGGTAGAAGTCACTGCTTCCCGGAGCTGCCGTAGAACCTGCTATACATCCCTCAGATGCAGCAATGAATCAGAAGATCAAAAACTGTTAGGGAGTGTAGAACTGTCCCTAATGCCAACGCCTGCCGGACCAGGAGCAACAAGGCCTGAGGGAGACGGGCAGATGTGCATGGTGGCCGAGGGGACTGGCAAACACATGCCCAAGGAGAGAGACAGCCCTGCCTCCCACTGCAGATTGCTGCCATGTGGGTAGGTGGGCCCCGCGCTGCTGGCTCTTCCAAGTGTTCAGAGGAAGCTGGAAATTTGGATTTTTATGTGAAATCTCCAATTTCCCAAATGTTGTCTCAAGTATCTAAACATATTGTGTGGAATAAAACACAGAATGGTACCAACTTGTGGCCTCCGATGTAATCTATCTTATACACACACACACACACACACACACACACACACACACACCCCTTCATCCTTCAAGATTCATTTACTCAGTTCTCCTGGATCGGTTCTCTACGACTGGAAACAACAGCCTCTACCGTCCTTCTTTCAGCGCAAGATTTGAACTAGTACCTATTTAACATATGGGAAAACCAATATAAATTTCCCTGGGGTTATTTTAATCAGCGAACTGCCCGTTGAATAAATGAATAAATAAACGAACATTTATTAAACACCTATTCTCTCATTGGAGTCTCGTGACCCACCTCTGAAGGGGGATTTACTGTCCTCATTTTACGGTGCAAGTGGCCATCATTCATACGATTATTACACAACGTGGATCTAATTCAGGTTAAATCATATCAACGGAGGAGCCCGTTTCTTCAGCCAAAGCCTAATATAATATTGTTGGCCTACGAAACAAGTATTAGTCAAGCCTTTCCAGAGCCCTGTAAAAAAAATAATTTTATCATGTCATATTATTATTACTCATCATTCTAATGAGACACATGGAAAAAAAATGTAACACACAGAAACCACCAAGAAGTACTAGGTCAGAACCAAGGAGAGAGACAGCCCTGCCTCCCACTGCAGATTGCTGCCATGTGGGTAGGTGGGCCCCGCGCTGCTGGCTCTTCCAAGTGTTCAGAGGAAGCTGGAAATTTGGATTTTTATGTGAAATCTCCAATTTCCCAAATGTTGTCTCAAGTATCTAAACATATTGTGTGGAATAAAACACAGAATGGTACCAACTTGTGGCCTCCGATGTAATCTATCTTATACACACACACACACACACACACACACACACACACACACCCCTTCATCCTTCAAGATTCATTTACTCAGTTCTCCTGGATCGGTTCTCTACGACTGGAAACAACAGACTCTACCGTCCTTCTTTCAGCGCAAGATTTGAACTATTACCTATTTAACATATGG